CCACTCCTCACTCCTCTGAGTTCCCCCCGACGGAGGCTCCTTTGCAGACCCTTCACATGGACGTGTGGGGCCCAGCCCGCGTCCGTGGACAGGGCGGAGAGCGCTACTTCTTGCTGGTAATTGACGACTACACGCGTTACACCACACTGTCTTCCCCTTGCGCACCAAGGGAGAGGTCCCTGCTGTCTTGATCCCTTGGATCCGCGCTACTCGTCTCGAGCTGGAGAGGCGCTTTCGCACGGACCTTCCCGTCCTGCGACTGCACTCTGACAGAGGTGGTGAGTTTTCCTCCGGCCTCTTGGAGGCCTTTTGTCAGGGGGAGGGCATTGAGCAGACGTTCACGCTTCCGGCCTCTCCTCAGCAGAATGGGGTTGTTGAGCGCCGCATTGGCTTGGTCATGGAGGTCGCTCGTACCTCCTTGATCCATGCGGCTGCCCCCCATTTTCTGTGGCCGTTTGCGGTCCGGTACGCCGCGCATCAGCTCCACCTCTGGCCCCGTGTCTCCGTTCCGGAGACCTCGCCGACACTGCGTTGGACGGGAGCGGTTGGCGATGCGTCTGTGTTCCGTGTCTTGGGATCTCGTGCCTTTGTCCGCGATACGTCCGCGGACAAGCTCTCCTCCCGTGCCGTTCCTTGTGTCTTCCTGGGCTTTGTCCCTGACGCGCCTGGCTGGCAGTTTTACCACCCCACGTCGCGCTGTGTCTTCCCCTCTCAGGACGTCACGTTTGACGAGTCGGTCCCCTTTTACCATCTCTTCCCCTACCGCACTGCCCCGCTCCCCCCTCCGCCGCTCTTCCTCACGCCAGGTGCTGCTTTGGTAGACCCCCTACCTCCCCAGGGTCCTGCTCCCTCAGGTGAGTCCCAGGTAGACCCGGTCGAGCCTGTCGAGGTAGCTGTCGACTCACGTCCTGCGCGAGGTACTGAGCGTGCTGAGGATGAGCGTGCTGAGCCTGAGCGTGCTAAGCCTGGTGGTGCTGGGTCTGGGGGTACTGCGACTGGGGGTGTTGAGCCTGGGGGTGCGAAGACTGGGGTTGCTGAGCCTGGGGGTGCGGAGACTGCGGGTGCTGAGCCTGGGGGTGCTGAGACTGGGGGTGCTGTCCCTAGGGGTGCTCAGTCTGGAGGTCCTGAGCCTGGGGGTGCTGCGCCTGGGGGCGTTCTCTCTTCCCAGCAGCTGCGTGAGTGGTATTCTCGGCACTATCGCCGCCGCCGTGGTGCTGTGGGAGCTGGAGGTGCTGGTGGAGGTACAGGAGCTGCTGGAGCTGCTAGTGGTGCTGCTGGTACTGGGGCTGGTGCCGCTGGAGGTACTGGTGCTGCTGGAGGTGCTGCTATTGCTGGTCCTGCTGGAGCTGCTGCTGGTGCTGCTGGAGGTACTGGAGCTGCTGGTGGTGCTGAGCGAGTTGGAGCTGCTGCTGGAGGTTCTGGTGCTGTCTCTGCTGGTTCTGGGGGCACTTCACGGCCACAGCCGTACTTTGTTCCCCTCCTTCAGCAGGTTCTTGGTCAGCCGCCTCCTCCTTGTCCTGCTCCCTCCTTAGAGTGTTCTTCGCCTGTCCAGTCGGTGTCACAGCTATCGCCTGCCTCGCCACCCCCTGGTCCTTCTCCCTACACTGGTCCAACAGGCGGTCTTACGGAGCGTCGTGAACGTGAGTCTCGTCCTGTGTCGCCTGAGTCTCGGTCTGCGTCACTTGTTCGTGCTGCTCGCACTGGTCGTCATGTCCCGCGTCAGCGTCCTCCTGCTGTCCCAGGCACTCACCAAATGGCGCTTCGTCCTTCCACTGCTCCACAGCATGTCTCGCTGCCTTCTCCTCCTGCGTCCTCTCTTCCAGCCCTTGCTGATCCGGATTCTGACTCTCTTCGTGCTGCTAGTCCTACTGTCAGGCGTCTCCTGGCCACTACTGTCTTTGACCCTTCCTTTGAGTCCACTGCAGCGTCTGCCTTAGTTGCTGAGCTTGTCAACTTTGCTTCTCACTGTCGTCTAGACTACGCTGCGAGTCTCGTTGCTGAGTCTTAGTCTGATTCTGTCTGTCCTCCGTCCGTCGGGGTTGAGTGTGCTCTTGGCATGGACGTCCTTGAGGATAGGCAGGAGGAGTTTGAGTGCTTTTGCCGCCGCTGTACCTCATCTCGTGTCCATTCTGATTGCACCTGAGGGAGACCCGGATGCACCAGACATCCCAACCCCGCGCTCTTACGCTGAGGCGATCGCGGGTGAGTACTCCTCTCAGTGGCAGACAGCCATGGACGCAGAGATGGCATCCCGGAAGTCCACTGGCACTTACGTCAACGAGGTTCCACCTCCTGGGGCGAACATCGTCAGTGGCATGTGGATTTTCAGGGTGAAGCGGCCACCAGGTTCTCCGCCTGTCTTCAAGGCTCGTTACGTTGCTCGAGGCTTCAGTGAGCGAGAGGGAGTAGACTTCTTTCAGACCTTCTCCCCCACCCCAAAGATGACCACTCTTCGGGTGCTACTGCACGTTGCCGCTCAGCGTGACTACGAGCTTCACTCTCTTGACTTCAGCACACCTTTCTTGCAGGGCAGCCTGCACGAGATCTAGCTGCGCCGCCCTCTTGGCTTCACTGGGTCGTTGCCTCCTGGTACCCAGTGGAGCCTCCGGCGGCTGGTCTACGGTCTCCGCCAGGCGCCACGTGAGTGGCACGACACACTGAGGACTACACTTGCGGCTCTTGGGTTCGCGCCTTCTACTGCTGACCCGTCGCTGTTTCTGCGCACCGACACTTCGCTGCCGCCGTTCTACATCCTCGTGTGCGTTGACGACTTGGTCTTTGCCACTGTTGACACTGAGGCTCTCGCCCTGGTGAAGTCGGAGCTGCAGAAGAGACACACATGCACAGACCTGGGTGAACAGCGCAGCTACCTTGGCTTGCAGATCACCCGGGATAGAGCACGCCGCACCATCATACTAACTCAGTCACACATGGTGCAGCAGGTCCTTCAGCGCTTCAGCTTCACCTGGTCCTCGGCACAGGCCACTCCTCTGGCTACAGGTCACTTGCTCTCAGCTCCACCTTCGGACGAGTCCGTAGAGCCGAGTGGTCCTTACCCAGAGCTAGTTGGCTGTCTCATGTACCAGATGACTTGCACTCGTCCTGACCTCGCGTACCCTCTTGGCCTTCTAGCCCGCTACGTGGCTCCTGGTCGGCACCGAAAGGTGCACATGGATGCTGCTAAGAGGGTATTGCGCTACTTGTCCAGTACATTAGGCATGGGACTCGTGCTTGGAGGGAGGAGCTCAGTTGTCCTCACTGGGCACTCAGACGCTTCTTGGGTTGACGACTAGGCTACTCAGCGGTCGTCACAGGGTTACACCTTCAGCCTTGGCTCTGTTTCTTTTTCTTGGCGTTCTACACGTTCGTCTTCAGTTCTCAGCTCCAGTTGTGAGGCTGAGATCTACGCCACAGCCATGGCTGCACAGGAGTTACGCTGGCTCACCTACCTGCTGACTGACTTGGGAGAGCGGCCTCGTTCTCCTCCAGTGCTGTACGTCGACAACAAGGCTACCATTGCCTTGTGTGAGGAGCACAGACTGGAGCATAGAACGAAGCACATCGCTCTGCGTTACTTCCTGGCTCGAGAGTTGCAGCAGCGTGGTCAGCTTCGTCTGCGTTACGTGGCCACTTGGGCCAACACTGCTGATATATTCACCAAGGCACTTCAGTCTTGTGATCATCAACGTTTCTGCACTATGCTAGGGCTTGTGCCCACTTTTCCTCACTTGCTGTAGGCTTTGCTTGTACTGTGATCTATATATATGTATACCTGCATGCTTGCTTTGCTAGGTAGAGATCACTGTGCTGTTTGTGTTGCATATATGCCTCTGCATGTGGACTGGCCTTGTGGCCCTTTGCTTGTGCTCATAGTGTGTGGTGACGTTGTGATCCACCCTGAGCTTGCTTTGCCTTTCTTGACTGGTCTTGTGACCCCTTGCTCTCCCCCACTTTGCCGATGGGGGTGTGTCAAATGTTACATCTGCTACAGTTTGTTTAGGCTGTAGTGGGATAGTTACTATGGGGTACGGTAAGTTTAGGGTTTCCTACTTGTACCCAACTCTTTCCTAGTGCAATCACTCTTGTTCATTCTGACAAGGCGTTTTTATACTCGGAAAATACAAGGATAAACGAGATAAAACGAACCTTCAGGAACACGCCCTTCCCGATACTACAATCACAAGTGCGCACAAGCACGCAAGGCTATTGGCACTTGGGATTACGCCCAGATTACACCGTATACACCGCTGTCGGCGCTGTCGGTGCCGTATAATAGATATGTCGGTGGGAAAAGTAGGAAATAAGAGAAATAAATAGAAGGCTCTAGAAAATAGAATAGTAGGCCGATTGAGATGAAATAAAGACCAAAATAAAGAGGAGAAAAAGGAGAATAAGATAAAGGAAAATATAATAATGACAAATGTTATAACGGGGACGTCCTCTCACATAGTACCTCCAACTCACCATGCACGCATTCCCGGTTGTGCTTGTGCGATGCACCGTGGACAGCACCAGTGGTGCCACGTGCACGACAGCACCTTCTCATCCTGCTACACGGATGTGCGCACTTGTGAGGTTGCGCTGCCGCATCTCCCCGCTGCTGCACGCCACTGCTCGCCCATTGCAGCTCCACGCGAGAGGCTATTGAGAATGCTTGAAATCTTGCGGGTTCCCATACCACCTACTCACCAGTCGCACTCGCCCAGCACCTTGCACTTCCCACCTACCCTCTTCCATCCGCTCCCTTTTCTCTTCCCCGTTCCCAATCCACCCTTATCCACATCTCCACCGCTGCACTGCCCATGGCTCACACCGCCAACGTCTCGCCTAGCCTGCCGCTTGCTTAGCAACCCCTTCCCCCCCCCCTCTCCCTTCCTTTCCCCTCGACTCCCCTGCTCTCCCCGCTCCTTCCCTCCCAGCCCCCACTCTAGACCCTCCCCTCCTTCCAAATCTTCTCCCCCAGTGTCGCACCAAACCAACCCCGCCCCCAAATGACCTAAATGCTAAACGTCCACACCTCGGAGCAGCACGTGCAAGCTACCCAAACTGACAATGTCTCAACGCCTTTTATGTCCATCAACAACCTCCCCATGCCTTCCCCCACGCCCGCACCGCCCTCAGCCCCTTGCTATCCCCCACGCCCTAGCCTCGCCCCCTCACCTCTCCCCCTTGGCGCGCACGTGCAGGACTTTGGGTCGCAGAAGCGGCTGGACACGAACGACTCGCTGCGCCTGGCGTCCACGTGGCACGGACTGCACGCCATCGCCATGCAGGTCACCACCGCTGCCCATGGCTGTGAGCGGCTGTGAGCGGTTGTGAGCGGCTGGGAGCGGCTGGAAGCGGCTGTGAGCGGCTGTGAGCGGTTGTGAGCGGCTGGGAGCGGCTGGAAGCGGCTGTGAGCGACTGGGAGCGGTTAGGAGCGACTGGGAGCAGCTGGGAGCAGCCGGGAGCGGCTGGGAGCGGATGTGAGGGGCTGGGAGCGGCTGTGAGCGGCTGGGGGCGGCTTGGAGTGATTGTGAGTGGCTGTGAGTGGCTGTGAGTGGCTTTGAGTGTTTGGGAGTGGCTAGGAGTGGCTGTGAGTGGTTGCGATTGGCTGTGAGTGGCTGTGATTGGTGTGGCTCAATTATGTGGGTGGGCCATGGCCATGTGGCTGCAATCTGTGAAAGTTAGAAGAGAGAAGAGGGCTGCACTAGCAAGAATGAGGATACAAATAGCAAACCCTAGAAGGGTTGTACTCGCTATGGAGCACCCCACTACAGGCTAGAGCATAAGATAACATTCTAACACAATCATTGGCTGATCACTGTCTCATAATGCATGCCTCCACGCCAAGCCATGTTCATCGTCGTTTGACACCCAAACGAAGCACTACAGGTATATCAAGTGCATCGCACCGACTGCATGCGCAATAGCATGGTAGTTGATCGATCTGAACTACATGTGTGGGATAGCATGGTAGTTGATCGATCTGAACTACATGTGGGATAGCATGGTAGTTGATCGATCTGAACTACATGTGCGATAGCATGGTAGTTGATCGATCTGAACCACATGTGCGAAAGCATACTAGTTGATCGATCTGAACCACATGTGGAATAGCATGGTAGTTGATCGATCTGAACCACATGTGCGATAGCATGGTAGTTGATCGATCTGAACAACATGTGCGATAGCATGGTAGTTGATCGATCTGAACCACATGTGCGATAGCATGGAAGTTGATAGATCTGAACCACATGTGCGATGGCATGGTAGTTAATAGATCTGAACCACATGTACAATAGCATGGTAGTTGATCGATCGGAACTACATGTGCGATGGCATGGTAGTTGATCGATCTGAACTACATGTGCGATATCATGGTAGTTCATTGATCTGAACTACATGTGCAATAGCATGGTAGTTCATTGATCTGAACTACATGTGCGATAGCATGGTAGTTGATTGATCTAAACTACATGTGCGATAGCATGGTAGTTCATTGATATGAACTACTAGTACATCCGCCCCATCTTGCCATGGCCCCCCATGAACAGCTATCGCCCATTCCCAACGGCGGTGGCATTGAGATGCTGGAGGCGGGCACCTTCGACCTGCATTGCTTTAGACACTCACAGGTGCGCCCTCGGCATTTCTTCCCCCGCCATTCCACCAAACAAGTGAAGTGCAGGTAACCGGCTGTGAGCAGGCACATGAGATCGACTCGTTTTGCTCAGCAGCACCACCAGGGCTCAGGTTTGCAGTGTAATTTACCCTTCTATACTGATAAGAAGGGTGAAATTTTCAGTCTACACTGATGGGCTGGGGTAATTTTTTGGGGGATTAGTGTTACACTGATATGTCAGTGTAATGATTTAGGCTACACTGATGCTCTGGGGTAAAATTTCCCTTAGCGAAGATTACCCTGAAGAGCGTACAGGGAACCACCCCCCCCCCCCCCCCCCCCCCTCCCCTTCGGAAAGTCTACCTATTGAGATGAAGGTTCTCTGAAATTTCATAACGGTACACCCAATTTTGTAATGATGCACTACGACGGCAGCACGTGAGTACTGATGACCGACACCGCGTCACTCTGTGTCTGCTTGCAACCTACCCAAAGCAAAAACTGCAACCTGATTGGCCGAAGCTGCACTCACTACAACTCCCTCGACTCCGAAATTTGGGACTCGATCGAGGTCCCCAAACACATGTTCCCCCCGGGAAGCTTGCTGACTCGGCGAAAAAAAACAAGTGTTGCAGTGAAACCAGACAAGCCACTGCGCTCGACTTTCACAACAACCCCCACCCACCAGTGCCCACCTTGCGCAGGATTAGTAATCTTGCGCAATTTGGGCCTCGAGCTTGGTTGCTGCTAGCACCTACAGTATAATCAGGGTAAAAAATATACCTATACTGATGCCTCTAGGTAAAGTTTTCAAAACTTCAAGTTACACTGATCCATCAGTGTTACCAAAAAAGACACACTGCTCAAAAGGGTTTTGAAAATGTCTACACTGCTAATCATGAGTAGGTAAAAACCAAACCTGAGCCCTGAGCACCACCTCTTAACTGCCTCCACTCTTCATTGCGTTCTGCCCCATTCATCCCGTTCCTCCCCTGCCCCCTCTCTTCCCTTCCCACATCCCTCTTTTCTCGACCACGCCATGCATCCCACCCACCATGCCATGCATCCCACCCACCATGCCATGCATCCCACCCACCATGCCATGGATCCCACCCAACATGCCATGCATCCCACCCACCCACCATGCCATGCATCCCACCCACCATGCCATGCATCCCACCCACCATGCCATGCATCCCACCCACCATGCCATGGATCCCACCCACTATGCCATGCATCCCACACACCATGCCATGCATCCCACCCACTAAGCTGCTCACCAATTTGCACGCACCTCAGGGCACACTTCCACAACCCCCCTGCCCTGCCCACCCCATGTATCCCACATACGCATGCATGTCACGTGTGTCCCCTTTTCTTCCCTCCCCCACCGGCAGGCACCAAGTTCTTCATAGCCACGGAGGTGGGCTTCACGGGGGCGCCCACGCTGCTCGCCATCATCTACGACCTCTACACCGACTATGTGCTAAAAAACCTCTTCTATGAGGTGCCCCTCTACACCGACTATGTGCTCAAAAACCCCTTCTATGAGGTGCCCCTCTATATCGACTATGTGCTAAAAAACCCCTTCTATGAGGTGCCCCTCTACACCGGCTATGTGCTCAAAAACCTCTTCTATGAGGTGCTGACATGCATTCCATGTGCACACATGCATTTCATGTGCTGACATGCATTTGATACACTGACATGCATTTGATGTGCTGACATGCATTTGATTTGCTGACATGCATTTGATGTGCTGACATGCATTTGACCACCTATTACATGGTGATCCAATTCAACCTTGGGCTTGCTGTGCTTTTGTGTGTTTATCATCATTCCCACATAAGCTTTATTCGGTGGGTAAGACTTGGATGGCCATTCTCACACCGTGTCCTTCCATTCACGCTGCATCTCCTCATGCCTTGGCACCAGGTGAAGATGCCCATCCGATGCGACCTCTTTGACCTGCACCTGCCCGCTGCCATCCGCAAGGACTGCTCGCTGCTTGCTACTACTGGGGTGCGTCGTATCCGGCCGATCATAGTGTATGTGCACAGGCTGGGCGCAATGTGGCGCTCCCATGATCATTGCACAGTTTAGCCCCACCACGCAAGCCCGCTTGTGGATTGAGGCCGTCTATGCACTTGAGCTCTGATAGAACATGGTGTGGAAGGATATGGTAATCACTAAGTTGTTATATGGTATGCCAGCTACATACATAGCGAACAACCCCTCACCAGCATACACCGCAAGCCACATGGGCCCCGCAAGAGAGCCACAGTTCGTCGTGAATTCTGCTCTTCAAGACTGGGACTTGAGAACGGAAGCCAGGATTTGAAATTGTCCATGGATTACCGTATCCTGAACCTTTAGTATTTTTTAAACAAGACTAATGAAGTGTAGATATCACAAACACCCAGAACGCCACTATTGACGCAAGCCTATATCATACTGAGGACGAGGACACTAGCATCAAGTTCGGCAATCGAACGTGCAAAATCGATCTGCTATCGTACTGGAAACCTGCAAAAACTTTTATAACCTTTCTAAAAGCCGTCAAAAGCCGACACTATGGCAGGATCAATCGCCAAAATCGAGGCCGATGGCAAGGCGCTTGTCGCCGCCTCAACGTATCACGTGCAAGCTACGCGCGTGACCGCGTCCCTCCGCTCGCCCTCTCCACTCACCTCTCCGCCCATGCTGCGCGCGGTGCTCCCCCCTCGCTGGCTGCACTGCGCGCCGATTCTCTCGGCGTCTCGCCACTCGCTGTCGGCGCGCGTCACGCGCTGCCCGCTCGACATTGCTCCCCCCCGCCTCCATCGTCCCGCGCTGGGCGGTTCTTCCGCTCGTCGGAGTGTAATGGCGGAGGCGGCGCCTCGAAGCGAGCAGCAGGCTACTGTCGCGGCTTTGCCACGGCAAGACGAGAGCGCGGTTACCAGACTGGAAGACAGTGTGGTTACCAGGCACGCAGCTACGAGCGGGGAGCAACGGCGATTGGAGTTTGAGATTCGCGCGACGGACGGCGAAGCCCGCGTTGGATGCATCCGCGCGACGCGCGTTGGCGAGGCGGGGAGAGGCGGGGATGAGAAGGCAGGCATGCAGAGCGCTGAGGAGGTGAAGGGAGCGCAGAGCGGTAGTGAATGGTTCGAAGTGGCGACGCCCGGTCTGCTAGCGTACACGCGGCGGGGGCTGCCGGTGCATCTGACGCCGGACGTGGCGCAGACGCTGGGGTTCGCCGGGTGGACCGCGTGCGCCACCCACTTGTGAGCCCACCGTACCTGACTGGATGCGCCCACCACAGCCAGCCTGTGGCGTGGCGCCGTGCAGTGATGGCTTGAAGTCACTACGTGCTCCAGTCCCTCATTCTTCACCCTCCCCCTCCCTTTCCCTCTGCCCGTCCCCCCCCCCCCCCCCCCCCCCCCCCTGCCCGTCCAGTCTCGGCAGCCCCGCCCACCAGACCGTTGCCGCCCACAGCCAAGCGCGAGCCACATCAGCAGCGGGGCTGCACGGCTTCCTCGCGCTGCCGCCCGCCACGCTGCTGCTCGCCTCGCCGCGCGACTCGCTGCTCTTCCCGGGCGGCCAGCAGGGCGGCAAGGCCTCGGCACGGCCTGCCACGTGGTTCGACACGCCCAGCGGCCGCCGGCAGGTGGGGCGGCGGTGGACGGGAGGGCAGGCAGGTGGGAGGGCAGTGGGCGGTGGGGGCATTTAGGGGGCTGCGCGTGCTTGTCTCCACTCCATGGCGCTGGTGATGTGCCATCACCACCACCCACCCCACCCTTGCATGCGCCACCTCCGATCCTACGTGACATCATGCATCCGCCGTGTTGCATCCGCCATGTTGCATCCGCCATGTTGCATCCGCCATGTTGCATCCGCCATGTTGCATCCGCCATGTTGCATGCGCCATGTTGCATGCGCCATGTTGCATGCGCCATGTTGCATCCGCCATGTTGCATGCGCCATGTTGCATCCGCCATGTTGCATCCGCCATGTTGCATCCGCCATGTTGCATCCGCCATGTTGCATCCGCCATGTTGCATGCGCCATGTTGCATGCGCCATGTTGCATGCGCCATGTTGCATGCGCCATGTTGCATGCGCCATGTTGCATGCGCCATGTTGCATGCGCCATGTTGCATGCGCCATGTTGCATGCGCCATGTTGCATGCGCCATGTTGCATGCGCCATGTTGCATCCGCCATGTTGCATCCGCCATGTTGCATGCGCCATGTTGCATCCGCCATGTTGCATGCGCCATGTTGCATGCGCCATGATGCATGCGCCATGTTGCATGCGCCATGTTGCATGCGCCATGTTGCATGCGCCATGTTGCATGCGCCATGTTGCATGCGCCATGTTGCATCCGCCATGTTGCATCCGCCATGTTGCATGCGCCATGTTGCATGCGCCATGTTGCATGCGCCATGTTGCATGCGCCATGTTGCATGCGCCATGTTGCATGCGCCATGTTGCATGCGCCATGTTGCATCCGCCATGTTGCATCCGCCATGTTGCATGCGCCATGTTGCATCCGCCATGTTGCATCCGCCATGTTGCATCCGCCATGTTGCATGCGCCATGTTGCATCTGCCATGTTGCATCCGCCATGTTGCATCCGCCATGTTGCATGTGGTGTGTGATCTCTCAAGAGCCACACCTGCATTCACCGTGCGTGGGCTGCACGCATCAGCAGCGGCGCCCCACATCACATCACTGCCACACTCCTCACCCTGTGCTGCCCTCCTCACACGCAGGTCACTCCAGAAGACCACAGTGCCATCGTGTCGTCTCTGCTGCCACATGTCGCCATCCCATTGCATGATGCGCCGCCCGCCACGTCATCGCTGAATCGTCACCGAGTGGCTGTGCAGCGATCGCTGACGTGGCTGGATGAGGAGCTGCGATTGGCTGAAGAACGAGGGGGGACGAGAACAGTGAGTTTGACTGCGATGCCAGTAGCACAGCGCATGGGTGCCACACTGTGCCAGCCACTGCATCACCATTGCAGTGCTGTATCACACCAGTGCCAGCCCCGTTTTCTGTGGTGCGGTGCGGTGCTGTGCGGTGTGGTGTGCAGGCGCTGCTAGGAGCGGTGGTGGGGGGCCCGTTTGAGGAGGAGAGGAGGCGGTCGGCCCGCGAGACTGCTGCGAGGACAGGCCTGGCAGGTGATACTGCTGCGAGGACAGGCCTGGCAGGTGAGACTGCTGCGAGGACAGGCCTGGCAGGTGAGACTGCTGCGAGGACAGGCCTGGCAGGTGAGACTGCTGCGAGGACAGGCCTGGCAGGTGAGACTGCTGCGAGGACAGGCCTGGCAGGTGAGACTGCTGCGAGGACAGGCCTGGCAGGTGAGACTGCTGCGAGGACAGGCCTGGCAGGTGAGACTGCTGCGAGGACAGGCCTGGCAGGTGAGACTGCTGCGAGGACAGGCCTGGCAGGTGAGACTGCTGCGAGGACAGGCCTGGCAGGTGAGACTGCTGCGAGGACAGGCCTGGCAGGTGAGACTGCTGCGAGGACAGGCCTGGCAGGTGAGACTGCTGCGAGGACAGGCCTGGCAGGTGAGACTGCTGCGAGGACAGGCCTGGCAGGTGACGGGGGAGGAGGGGGACAGGTGGGGTGAGAGGGCTGGCAGGTTGGGTTGGGTGAGAGGGGTGGGGGGTTGGGTGGGGAGTAAGTGCAAGCGGGGAGAAGGCCATGCATTTCCACCTTTCCCACACAACCCATGCCAATCCCCTCATGCATCTTGCCCCTCGATCCCCTCATGCATCTTGCCCCTCGATCCCCTCATGCATCTTGCCCCTCGATCCCCTCATGCATCTTGCCCCTCGATCCCCTCATGCATCTTGCCCCTCGATCCCCTCATGCATCTTGCCCCTCGATCCCCTCATGCATCTTGCCCCTCGATCCCCTCATGCATCTTGCCCCTCGATCCCCTATTGCTGTCTCTCTCACCTTCCCTGCTCTGCTCTGCATGTTCGCCATGCCTGCCATGCCTGCTGTGCCTGCCGTGCCTGCCGTGCCTGCCGTGCCTGCCGTGCCTGCCCTGCCCTGCCCTGCCCTGCCCTGCCCTGCAGGGTACCACGTGGCAGGGTTGGGGCTGGGGGAGGCAGTGGCGCACAGGGATACTCTGCTCACCGCTGCTCTTGTCAGTGTGCTCCTCATGCCCTCCTCTCCTCTCCCCCCCTCTCTCCTCCTCTTCCCTCCTCTCACCTCCTCTCCCCTCCTCTCCCCTTCTCTCACGTCCTCTCTCGTCCCCTCTCACGTCCTCTCCCCTTCTTTCTCCGCCTCTCTCCCCCTCTTCCCTCCTCTCCCCTCCTCTCCCCTCCTCTCTCCTCCCTCCCTCCTTTCCCCTTGTGTCCCTCGGTCCCTCCTTCCTTCCATCGATTCATTCAATCCCTTAATACCTGCTTTCTCTTCACCCCATGGAACTTAATTAATTACCTTTTTCTCCTTATTGATCTCCATCCATCCATCCATCCATCCATCCATCCATCCATCCATCCATCCATCCATCCATCCATCCATCCATCCATCCATCCATCCATCCATCCATCCATCCATCCATCCATCCATCCATCCATCCATCCATCCATCCATCCATCCATCCATCCATCCATCCATCCATCCATCCATCCATCCATCCATCCATCCATTTTTCCCGTTGTCCCCCCCTCTCTGATCCGTCCATCCCACCACTTCTTCCCCCAAGTGCGTCCATGGTCACCCTCCCTCCCCCCGTTGTGCGTGTGCGCGCTCTCACCCCCCGGCAGTCGGAGCTTCCACTGGAGGCAATGAGGCACACGTCAGGGCTCAACACGCCAGGTACATTCAACACACCAGGTACATTCAACACACCAGGTACATTCAACACACCAGGTACATTCAACACACCAGGTACATTCAACACACCAGGTACATTCAACACACCAGATACATTCAACACACCAGGTACATTCAACACACCAGGTACATTCAACACACCAGGTACATTCAACACACTAGGTACATTCAACACACCAGGTACATTCAACACACCAGGTACATTCAACACACCAGGTACATTCAACACACCAGGTACGTTCAACACACCAGGTACATTCAACACACCAGGTACATTCAACCACTAAGGTAAGGTGGGCACGCGAGGTAGAGTCAAGAGTGCAAGGGAGAAGGGGGGAAGGATAAATGGTGCTCCATTTCGAATCCTCCACGTGAATTCCTCTGCTCCTCTGCTGTGCTCTGCACCTCGTCCATGCCTGCCATGCCATGTACGCCTTGCCTTGCCCCACACGGGACACTCACCTCCTGCACTCCACCTGCCCCTCTCCACCGTGTGTCGCCCCTCTCCACCGTGTGTCGCCCCTCCCCTTCCCCCCATGGCGTGGCGGCGAGCAGAGGAGGTGCTGCACGCGGTGGCCAGGGGCGTTGACCTCTTTGACTGCACGTCAGTGCCACCCCTCCCGCATGCATGCACCCCCCCCTTGCATGCACCCTCTTCAAACCTTCCATGCATGTCCGTTTCTGCATGTGCCATGCCGTGCCCGCCCTGTGCCATGCACTATCCGCGCCATGGCATCTGACAAACCTCACCCGTGTCCCCCGCGTGCAGGTACCCCCATGACCTCACCCTCCTCGGCCTCGCCTCCACGCTGCCCCTCCACCCGCCCTGGTGGCCGCACACCGTGGCGCCAGGAGAGGGGGAAGGGCAGGGGGGGACGAAAGAGGAGAGGGATGGGGGGGCAGTGGAGGCGGATGGGGTTTTAAGTGAAGTGGGGAAAGAGAAGGAAGGGGAGGAGGTGTACGGGTCGAAGATGAACCTGCGGTGCTCATCGCACAAGTGAGTGCCATTATCACACTACTGTCCCGCCTGGGTAGCTATGCCAGGACCATGCTGTGCCAGGACCATGCTGTGCTTGCTCCACCATGCTAAACCTGCCTTGCGCCCTCACGCTATGACTTTCGCGCAGTCTTCCTTTATTCTTCCCGCCCTCACTTGTCGGCTTCTCCCACCCGCTCCCTCTCACTTCTTCACTACGTGTCTGCCCTCCATCCGCGCACCCCGTCTGTGGGCGCTACCAGGCACAGTTTCATCCCCATATCGCGCACATGCGCGTGCTACACGTGCACCCGCCACACGCGCGCCTACCTGCACCACCTGCTGGACGCCCATGAGATGCTCGCCCTCGTGCTGCTGGACATGTGAGTGGCTGTGCTGCTGGACATGTGAGTGGCTGTGCTGCTGGACATGTGAGTGGCTGTGCTGCTGGACATGTGAGTGGCTGTGCTGCTGGACATGTGAGTGGCTGTGCTGCTGGACATGTGAGTGGCTGTGCTGCTGGACATGTGAGTGGCTGTGCTGCTGGATATCATGTGAGTGGCTGTGCTGCTGGACATGTGAGTGGCTGTGCTGCTGGACATGTGAGTGGCTGTGCTGCTGGACATGTGAGTGGCTGTGCTGCTGGACATGTGAGTGGCTGTGCTGCTGGACATGTGAGTGGCTGTGCTGCTGGACATGTGAGTGGCTGTGCTGCTGGACATGTGAGTGGCTGTGCTGCTGGACATGTGAGTGGCTGTGCTGCTGGACATGTGAGTGGCTGTGCTGCTGGACATGTGAGTGGCTGTGCTGCTGGACATGTGAGTGGCTGTGCTGCTGGACATGTGAGTGGCTGTGCTGCTGGACATGTGAGTGGCTGTGCTGCTGGACATGTGAGTGGCTGTGCTGCTGGACATGTGAGTGGCTGTGCTGCTGGACATGTGAGTGGCTGTGCTGCTGATGCTGGTGGTTCTCTTTGCTGCATTGTTGCAAAGCGAGGGGTGAGCCGCGAGGGGTGAGCCGCGAGGGGTGAGCTGCGAGGGGTGAGCTGCGAGGGGTGAGCTGCGAGGGGTGAGCTGCGAGGGGTGAGCCGCGAGGGGTGAGCCGCGTGGGGTGAGCGGCGTTGGGTGAGTCGCACACGGGAGTGAAGTAGCGCTGCCTGGAGTGCTCATGAATGTACGAGTGTGTCACCACTTCCCCACTCAATGGCCCGCTGGCTGTCCCTGTTCCCACCAACTTGTGCTCTCCTGCTGTTGATTGCGCCACGCACACTCAACAAGTTCGCCCTGCTGCCACTGCGCCTTGCTCTCATGCCTGGCTGCAGTGGTTCTGCAGGGCTGACCCCATGCACGCATCATCCACAGGCTGGTCATTTTTGTCCTCACGGTACACTCTATTCACTGCATGCTGCTGCTCTGCTCTGCGCTCTGCCACCTGTGCCCTTGTTCTGTTGCTTCCTCTTACCCCAACGCAACTCCCTTCAGCCACAACCACCATCACATGCTTCACTTCTTTCAAGTTATTCGGCACGCCATCAGGTTGGGTGTGTTTCAACGGTACAGGGAGTGGTTCGTCCAAGCTAGAGAGGAGGAATCAAAATCAGTACTGCTACAACAGCATGTGCAGAATGCGGCTTAGCGTTGGGCTTGGGCGTGTAACATGAGGCATGGATTCGTGAGCAAGTTGGCATCAGAGCTGTTGTTAGCAGACTCAATTCTGTTGATGATGGCCTTCCAGTTGGGTGTTCTACGTAATTCTACGCCAAGCAGAAACTTTATGTTTCGGGGAATAATTCTTGGTGGTGGTCGTTCGTGGACCACCTTCCACCAGCCAATGGGTTGGGTGGAGGGCTCTCTCCTGTGAAGCAACACTTGTTAGGATACCTCTGACACATTATCATACAATTCATTCCTTCAGGCAAACATCATTGGTGCTGTTTCGAAATGCCACCCTCTTCAGCTAGTACCGGTTTGCAGAGAGCTGTTTTTACCACTGCACCATTTGTGGCAGCTTGTCAAGAAAATGACGCCTACTAAACAACAAGAACCAGCAAGAGGGCAGCAAAAGAACCTACCGGTATTTAACTAACCACTACTGCACCAATACAGGGTGCGTTGAAACATACAATCCATTAAAGCTAAGACCACTGCCAGCAGAGAGCAAGCTGTGCACACACGGAGCAACACAGTAAGAGACAAGTGGGGATGGGTTTAATCAGGTCATCATGACGCCAAGGGGCAGGCAAACATGCCGAGTCATGCATGTTGGGTAGCAAGGACAAGGGGCGGGATGATGTGAACGACAGTAGTGCATGAGGCCAATGTGGAGTTGGTTGGTGGTGGTGGGCATCTGGTCATGCTGTGCGCATCCGTAGATGGGGAAGAGAGGCTGGCTAAATAGGAGTGATTGGATCGGGAGATGGGACTACTGACTGAGGGGGAGACGGGGCTACTGACTGAGGGGGAGACGGGGCTACTGACTGAGGGGGAGACGGGGCTACTGACTGAGGTGGAGACGGGGTTACTGACTGAGGGGGAGACGGGGCTACTAACTGAGGGGGAGACGGGGCTACCGACTAAGGTGGAGAAGGGGCTACTGACTGAGGGGGAGACGGGGCTACTGACTGAGGGGGAGACGGGGCTACTGACTGAGGTGGAGGCGGGGCTACTGACTGAGGGGGAGACGGGGCTACTGACAGAGGGGGAGACGGGGCTACTGACTGAGGTGGAGACGGGGCTACTGACTGACTGAGGGGGAGATGGGGCTACTAACTGAGGTGGAGACGGGGCTACTGACTGAGGGGGAGACCGCTCAGTAGGATCTTGCGCCTTAGGCCTAGCTACCATCTCCAATTTGAATCACTTAGAAAGATGGTCTAGAGGGTGAAAACCACTTGAAAATGTCTAGCAGCCGCATCACTAGAATGGTGGAGGAATTACAAACATGAAGGCATGGAAAGTTGGAGTTGGGGACTCCAAGAGAACCATGAGAGGGAAGGGGTCCTCCAAGAGCTAGGGAAAGATGTTTGGAACCTTCTTAAGAGCAAGGATGCAACCCTCATCATGAGGTCCTTGAGGTCTCACATGCAAAATCCAATCTAGTTGGATTTTGCCTAGGTGCTGCAATGCAACATTTGCACCACATGCTAGAAACTTATAGCCATCCCAATCCAAAAGTCAAAGTTGCCTTCCTAACCACCAAACTAAAGATCCTTTTATATTCATGTCCAAGTAATAATCCAAATTAGATATAACCCCAAAAGGTAATTAGAAATCCAAGACTTGGAGAACTTATCACTTGGGCGATCTTGGTCGGAATAAGGCGATATTGGTACCGTTGGAGAACTCTGCATTTCTCCTGCATGATCAAACACTTAAACTTGGAGAGAAACACAGAGATGTTAATATCCAACAGCCATGCACAATTACATATAGTCATGCAAATAATGCATGCATGAATAGCATGAGCACTCGGCAGGACGTTATGATTGTCAGTAGATCTGCACTGTGGATGCCCGATTGATCCTGGAGAGGGTTACAGGCGCGTTCGCCTGGGGGGTTATGGGCGCACTCACCCGCTACTGAAATAAGCCCTTTTATCCCAATGGTCTAGTGGTTGGGATTCTGACATGGTATCAGAGCGGTCTCGGGTTCGATTCCCGGTGTATGCACATGTAGGCCGGTGCCGCTGTGCTTAGTCCTGGGCCTCCCAGTGTGGGGGGGTGTCAGTAGATCTGCACTGTGGATGCCTGATTGATCCTGGAGAGGGTTACAGGCGCATTCGCCTGGGGGGTTATCGGCGCACTCACCCGCTACTGAAATAAGCCCTTTTATCCCAATGGTCTAGTGGTTGGGATTCTGACAATGATGACATGCACTCAAAGTGACGTGCATCCAACACACTGGACAAATGTTTACCTGAGATCGACGCGAGACTGGTCGACCGCACGCCGCTGGTGATATGGGAACGCACGGTCGGAGTTCGGATTCGTTGCGTGGGTAACTTCGCGTTTACCCAAGAAATGCTAGCGACAACCCTCGACGAGATTGGCATTTTACTCGGCTCAGATTGGTTGCGACGACACAACCCGAAATCTACGGGACGACAGTTGACTGCACTATGCAAGTGAACGGTATCAACATCGCCCTACCTCGTTGGAGCTCGTCTGGGTCGTCGTCGGTGCGTGTCAATACCATCGCGATGAAACGCGCTCTAGCAGCAGGACCTAACATGTATGCGGTTGACATTTGGGAAGCCGAGGCAGCAGACAAACCGAGCGATTTGGCAGAGTTACTGAAGCAGTACAGCGGGAGTTTTGTAGACGATCTGCCAGAGGGACCACCACCTTAGCGACCGCATGACCACATGATAAAATTAGAACCAGGGGCACAGCTGGCAGTACTGCAACAATTCTAACTGACCTAACCCAAGCTAGACGAACTATGGAAGCAGCTGGATTACGTGCTCAAGAAAAAGTTCATATGCCCGAGTTCGTCACCCTTCGCAGCACTGATACTGTTTACACTGAAGAAGGACGGTGGTTTTTGCATGTGCATAGATTACCGCAGACTGAACAGGGTTACAATCATTTCCCGTTACCCCATCCCGCGAGCCGATAAACTCATCGACCAAGTTCCCACGGCCCAATTCTTCTCGAAAATCAATCTTCAGGGGGGGTTACCATCAGATTTGAGTCAACCCACCCGACTGCCTAAAAACCGCCTTCCGCACCCGCTACGGCTCTTTTGAATACGCCGTGATGCCTTTCGGACTGACCAACGCCCTCGCCACCTTCTAAATGACCATGAATGAAGCCTTTTGCTCGCTTTTAGAAAGGTGCATAATTGTCTACTTGTACGATATACTGATCTACAACCTAGACAGAGCACATCACCTACGGGACATCGAATCATTTTTCAAAATACTGAGTGAGAACTGCCTACTGACCGAAGCCTCTAAGTGTGAATTTTTACAGGACAAACTGGAGTTTTTGGGGCACAAAATATCAGCCAATCGAGTAGAAATAGACCCTGAAAAATATCGTGAAGATTCAAGCCTGGCACGCGCCGACCAACTTGACCGATTTGCAATTTTTCTGAAGTTCATCAACTACGTGCGATGATTCGTTCACGACATGGCGCAGTTGACTCCCGAGGCAGGGGGTTGAGTATACGTGGGGGGGAGAAAGAGCAAGCTGCCTTGTCAGCCCAAAAGAAAATTTGTGCTTACCACCCGTGCTTCACATCGTAGATCCCCGTCATCTGTTCAAACACGTCACCGACGCAAGCAACATCGATGTGGGAGCAGTACTATTGCATGACTTCAGGAACGGCCTTCAGCCAATTACGTACGAGTCCCGCAAACTTCACATTCTTGAACGTAACTACCCGATATATGGCCGCGAGATGCTGGCAATTGTGCATGCGTTCAAGGTGTGGCAGTGCTACCCGACAGGAGCCGACGTGACAGTACGGATAAGTCATCGTGCACTAAAGTACCTACATGCCCAACTAAATTATAACCCGCAACAGATACGGTAGTTAGACTATCTGGAGTCCAACTTCCACTATACCGTCACATACAAAAAGGGAGCATCAAATATCACCGACGTCCTTACTCGCCCCACAGCCCAACTCCACACCATCCTACTCGCCAAACCAACCACTGCTAAATGGCCTATTCACCCACGAATACAGTACCAACCCATTTTTCACCACTGAAATTCGCAACAGCTGACAGAAACAATATGAGTTTGTTATGTAAAAGCCGGTACCAACCGTATCTGGGTACCAGCAGACTCACTGCTACGGAATTACCACTGCAGGAGGCAGACAACGGAGTTACCTTAGGTAGTTTTGGGGAAGAGAAAACGCGACAGCAACTGCAGTAGTATTACTAGTGGCCGGAGCTAATGACCAACGTACAACACCACGTGAGATCCTGCCCTGCGTGTCAGGTGATGAAAAGCTCGCGCAAGAAAAAGGCTGGTCAATTGCAGCCGATTCCACCGCCCAAGCGCGCTTGGTAGCACGTTACCATGGATTTCGTCACGGGGTTACCTTCGAGCCTTGGTGGTAACGACGCGGCTATGGTTGTCGTTGAACGACTGACGAAAATGGCCCACTTCGCTACGTGCAGGAAATCGATATTAGCCAAAGAAACCGCTTGTCTGTTCATTGCGGTTGTTGTTTGATTGCACCGGATACCAGCCGCGATAATCTACAACCGCGATACGAAGTTTACTAGCAGAATGAACCTCTAGGAGCAGTTCGGGACCTGGCTACAGTTCTGTTCATCGTACCACCCCCAGACCCACGGTCAGACAAGGCAGACAAACTAGACCAAGGAGCAGCTGATTCGTGCCACGTGCGACAACTCGACGACATAGGAGTAGCAGCTGTCGCTGATCCAACTTGTCTACAATAACGACACGTCAGCAACAACGTAGCAGTCCCCATTTTACCTGAACCACGAGAAAAACCATCTAGTGCCCATCACGCCGAGCTCGGACAACCCAACGTTACACGCGTAACAGTTCGCCAAGTTCCTGCAAGCTGCCCGGACCCACGCAGGAGACGCGATTAAAAAGGCGAATATTATCGCTAAAAGGAACGCCAATTGCCACCGCCGCAGATCTTACGCTTGCCTGCCGTACCGAAACTTCAACCGCGCTACAGTGGACCTTTCCAATGTCAACGGGAGTTGTGTATTGTCCCCGTCCATGCTTGGGCGGAGCCGACTTCGTGGTCGGGTGTGAGGGGAGCAGCCGACCCGCAGCAGTGGGCGAGCTGGTTGACGAGGAGGTCGACCTGCACGGAGACCACTGTACGGGCGCCGACTTCAGGGTGGCGCCGACTTCAGGGAGGTCGACTTGGGAAGTCAACCTGCGGAGGACGTCAACTTGGGGAAGCCTTCTTCGGTGGTCGGCTGACGGACTGCATTGTCGACCTGGTGGTTGGTCGACCAGGCCTGCTGGTGATCGACCTGACCTGGTGGTCGACAAAGGAGGGGCCGACGTCGACCTCGACTCAGGACGCCGAGCAGTTGGGCATCGAGTAGCTGGGTGTCAACTTCGTGTCGCCGACTTCGAGTTGCCGACATGGGTGGTCGGCCGACAACTGCGCTGGTCGACATGAAGCTGGTCGACCAGAAGTGACGTCGACCTGGAGCTGGTCGACCAGGGGCGTGGTCGACGTGGTGAGGTCGACTTGGAGGTGGCCGTCGACTTGGGAGGTCGACGGGCACGTACGGGAGCAGCTGGTCGACGTGGTTGCCCGGTCGACCAGGTTACCTGGGTGACGAGGTTCTGCGTAGGAGTGCGACGGTCGCCCAGGCGAAGTTGGCGAGTCCGACCTCGGTGGTGGTATCTCGAGGTGGACGTGGCAGATCAGGTGGAGTCGTCAGCACAAAAATGACCTGGTGTGTGTGCGTTGTGCAGGTGACGAGGCTTAGCCCGCCAATCATCTACGAGCACATGCGAAGTAGGTGCGCAGCTGTTCTGCGGGAGCAGCGCTGGCACGCCGTCAACCCGCGACGTTGGCACGCCGTCAACTTTGCACTGCTGGAGCGCGGTCAACCTAGTCGTGCTGGAACGCGGTCGACCTTGCTGCGATGGCAGTCGGCCGACCTGAATGCTAGCTCTGATGTAGTCTTGCCATGCCAACTTCATTGTATCATTGTTGTCAACTTTCTCTAGTGAAACTCTTGCGAATTCTCCCTGTGAACTAGCAAGCTGTGTGTGCACTAGGAAA